GCAACAGATGAATGAATAAACCAAATTGTTGTATTTATATAACAGAATATTATTCAGCAAAAAAGAGAAATGAAGCACTGATATATGCTACAACATGAATGAAGCCTGAAAACACACTATGTGTAAAAAGCCAATTATAGAAGACCACATATTGCATAATTTTATTTTATTTTTTTTTTTTTTGAGATGGTTTCTCACTCTGTCACCCAAGCTGGAGTGCAATGGTGCGATCTTAGCTCCACTTCTTGGGTTCAAGTGATTCTCCTGCCTCAGCCTCCCGAGTAGCTGGGATTACAGGTGCCTGCCACCATGCCTGGTTAATTTTTATATTTTTAGTAGAGACAGGTTTCGCCATGCTGGCCAGGCTGGTCTCGAACTCCTGACCTCCAGCGATTCGCCCACCTCAGCCTCTCAAAGTGCTGGGATTACAGGTGTGAACCACCATGTCAGGCCTGTATGATTTTATTTATATAAAATGTCCAGAATAGCAAAATTGTAGATTAATTGTTGCCTAGGTCTGGGTGAAAGTGGGGAGGAAGTGACTGCTACAGGAATGAGGTTTCATTTGGGGATGATAAAGATGTTCTAAAATTGTGGTGACAGTTGCACACCTCTCTGAAAGGCACTAAAACCTCTGAGTTATACGCTTTAAGTGGACGAATTGTGTGGTATGTTAATTACACCTGAATAAAACTATTACATTAAAAAAAAAAAAATGGACCAGGCTCGGTGGCTCACGCCTGTAATCCCAGCACTTTGGGAGGCTGAGGCGGGTGAATCACGAGGTCAGGAGTTCGAGACCAGCCTGGTCAACATGTTGAAACTCCGTCTCTACTAAAAATACAAAAAATTAGCTGAGCGTAGTGGCTGGTGCCTGTAATCCCAGCTACTTGGGAGGCTGAGGCAGGAGAATCCCTTGAACCCGGGAGGCGGAGGTTGCAGTGAGTCAAGATGGTGCCGCTGTACTCCAGCCTTGGTGACAGACTGAGACTCCATCTCAAAAAAAAAAAATCAAAAAACAAACAAACAAAAAAAGACTTCTGCAGCCGCTAAACACTGGTGGGGTGGGGAAGGGGGTAGGTACCTGGGTAGAATCCCAATAGGGTAGGGGAATAAACTTGGATGAGAAAAAAAAAAAAAGTACCTCTGCTAACTTCTACCTATTAGAATTGTAATCTTCTATTATGAATGTACATAACAAGCTGTAATGGTACTAATGATACCTGTGATTGTATTCACCAGTAGAAATCCCTGATATTTTCATTTTATATTACCGTTGCCTCAGGGATTTGAGAAAAATTATTTGTACTCAATGCCATTTCAAAATCATCTTAGCTATTAGATTAACCAGTAGATATTATTAACGTTACTGGCCCATGTGCTACTGGTAACAGACTCACCTAGGTAAGGATCAAAGGGAAATACAACCTTTCTCTTGCATGCTCTGTCTGCACAAGGCAGGAACATCTGGAAAGAGCCAGCCTCCCAATCAGGACTGGCCACACTCTCTCTCTTTCCATTCCTCTCTGCTATCTGTGACTACTAGCCACCTCAGATTCAAAGCAAAAGCAGAAAGCCAGAGCCCTACTTTAGTTTTTTGGCTTAAGCAACGTTGTTCAACCCAGTTGTAACATCTATATGAAGGAATTGAAGCAGGAGTCATAATCCCAATTAGCTACTGTTTCTTCTGTTTAGAATTCTTTGAACAAGATCTTCATAGGGAAAGAGAAGTGAATAGTCTTATCCAGGTCTCACACCTCTATTACAAACCCCCTGTTAATATCTCTATCGGATAATCCCTCCAGTAAGAGGTTAACATTAATTCTCTGTGTTAGTAGTACAGATGAGTGAACTGGGATGTGTGGAAATGTGATAACTGACCTGAGTTCACCCAGCTAGTAAGTGGAAAATCTCGGGTTCAAACACAGGCTCCTCTGACTCAAAGTTTGTGTCGCTTCTACTACTTTAAATAACGTCAAATAGAACAAACAAGTTTTACTTCCCTTTTTGAACTCTTAATAGGCATGATATGTTTATCATAATCTATCATGAGGAAAAATCCCCTACCTCTGCAAAAATGACAGGAATAATGACGGGTTTTTTCTGGATGTTTTCCTTTGGGTGGTGGGGGAAGAAACTCTTTTTCTGAAGCACATTCTTTGCTTGCATGATAGAGTACTTGGGATTATTTTTAGAAATACCTGCACTGTCAGTTAGAGCTAGTTTTTTTCTTGCTGATGAATTAATGTTGCTATAAGCCTTCTGCTGGAAACCGTTCTTGGACACGAGAAAGTTTTACTAATTGAAACCCTGCTTTTGGCTCCTTGTTTATTTTGAGCCATCTCAATAAGTGGCCCCATCATTTGTCCAGTTGGACAACCCAGCAATATGGAAGCCTCCTCCTGTTTCACTACTCATAGTCCATCACCAAAGTCCCATCAATTCCAACCTCCCAAATAGATCTCAAAGATGTCCACTACTTCCCGTCTCTGCTACCACCACTATAGCACAAGTATCATGATCTCTTGCCTGGGCCATGCAGTTGACTCCCCAGGTCTATTTATTCTCGCTTCCCCACTCTTTGCCCTCTTTCCCATCTTTTCTCTACATTTCAGACCCTTTAGTAACTTGCCTTTGCTCTTAGGATGGCATCACCTCTCCTTAACTTGACAAACAAAATATTTTTACTGTTGACCCTAAACACTGCCCTATCTTACCTTACCCCTTAATTCCCTTTACTCTCTTATTGCCAGTCTTATTGACCTTCTCTATGAATCAGGATATGGTAGGTTAAGCTGCAGCAAAAAGCAACCCCCAAATCACAGCATCTTAAAAGCAAAAAGGCTCATTTATTGCTTACAGTATGTATCCAGTGTGTATTAGCAGTGGCAGCCTGCAGGGGGGTGCATGCACTAGAAGAAAGCATGGCCAATTGCATGCTAGCTCTTGAGGCTTCCACGCAGGCATGGAGTGCATACACACAAATGTTTGTTCACATTCCATTGGGTGGAAAAAGTCACATGTTCACATCCACATTCACAGAGGCAGGGACATGCAATCCTAGCATGTACCTAGATACACAGGAGGACACAGAATCAGCATCAGCGCATTGCACCTGCTTCCTTCCTCCATAGGCCTTTAAACAAGCTGATTCCTCTGCCTGAAATGCCTTTCCTTTTATTCTTTTATTTTTTTCAATATTGCCCATATTTAAAATATAATATACCCTCCATTCCTTGAAGTAACTCCTGTATTATTCTCTGCATCTAAGCTCACGCTTAGGGAAACCTTCCTTAACTGGGTCAAAATATCCATATTTTAAGCTCTTATAGCAACATATACATGCATAAAATTTGCCATAATTGCATTTTATCTTTGTTTGAATGAATGTTTGATAAATATCTGTCTCCCATATAAGACTGTAAGCGCTATGAAGAGAATGACTTCGCTGGCTTTTGCTTACCAGTGTTATAACAACAAAAAACAACACCTATTGCAGGCCAGCCATAGTTCTAAGTACTTTGGCACATGACTCTTTCATATTTACAATAAATGGACTAATTCATTCATATTTACAATAACCCTATGAGGCAGATACGATGATTACTGCATTTTATAGATAAGAAAATTGAGGCACAGAACTTGTCCAGTTTCACACAGCTAGTAAGTGATGTGAAGCCAGGGCTCAGACACAAGCCTCTGACACCAGAATCATGCTCTTTACCATTGCAGTTTACAAGTGTCTAGACACCCCGTGGTGCCAAAAGAGGTGTTCAGTAAATACCTTTTGAATGGCCTGATGAAGGAGTAAACCAGTATTCTGTGATGTACACTCAGGAAAAGGCTACCATGGGGCGATTTTTCTGGAATGTCAAAGCTGGAAATTTCCTTCGAGATCATCTGGTTCACTTTTCTTCTCTTATGGGCTGGTAAACCACAGATCAGAGTTAAGGTTGCTGCAGAGTTGGCTCTGGAATGGCACATTGGAGGGCATCTCTCAGAGCCACACCTTTCTTATTTCATTAGGCAACAAGGTAGAAAATGGCACCAATGGGGATTTCTTCCAGTAGACCAATGGAAACTTTTGTGTATGTGAAAGATTCGAGTGCAGCGGGTGGAAGTGACTTTTACCTTCTCTCTTTTCTGAAATTAGATTTTCTAGGACAGAATAAAAAAGAATGCCAAAGGTAATGAAATTTCCACGGTTATACACACAGTTTAAATTAACAGTGTGAGTCAGTGTTTCAGAATAGAAATAGCAACAAAAGCTGACATCCTGGGAAAAAATGACTCAATTAACTGTATGTGCACTGCCACTGGTTCAAATTTCTTTGATGATTTGTAACCAGAGCCCCGTGAAAATTAAACCCCAAAGAGATTGTGGCAGAATTTGTATCTAGTTACCAGGGTAGCTGGTTCACTGGGGTATGTGGTGGTGATGGTTGAGAACCTTTGATTTCCTAACCCACTGTGGAGATCTAGATGCCTGTTAACCATCTCTTAGAGACACAGAGTGTCTCATGGATGAGGAAACATGCTAATCATCACCTCCATAATTCTCTCTCCTGGCATCTAGGTCCTTAGCAAACTCCATTCATCCAGCTCCCTGAGAAAGACATTTTTGGGCCAAATACTTTCAGAGAAAGGAGTAGATCAGGTATTTAGAAGGCAAATATCTTTATGAGATTTACTTATTTTCTCTCCAAGGAGAAAAGAGCACCAATAGCTAGCTTATTAGAGATTGCTTTGAACCCTGAGGATTACACAGATAAAAGGAGGGAACATTGTGCCTTGTGTTACTCAAGCATCCTTTGCTGCAAATGGAAATTGACTTAGCCAAAGCTTAGTGAGAAGAGTGGAAAGAGGAAGTGGGTCCTGGGGCTCCTTGGAGGTACAGCTGGAACAGGGATGTCATGTGGAGGCTACAATTCCTCTCATCCTCTTTATGTTCTCCCTTCAAAGCCCCCATTTATTATTTCAATTTTCCATCTTTGCGACAGAGTGGGCTTCTATGACTCTGCCTTGCCTGGAGGTCCAATACAGGTGAGTCACTTGTGCAGCAGTAAGGATAGGAGGGCAAAAAAGAAGGAGCCTGGGGCTTGGGGCTGGAAAGTGATAGTCAGCAATGCATCCTGTGCCTCTCATCCTACTCCCAGCATCTGATTCTGCCTCAGATTCTTGGAACACAGATGGACCAGGGGTGCATGGCAGCATTTATATCTGGGTTGCTGGAGCTTCTATAGAATTGGCACGCATGTGAAGCCAAATACTGCAGGGCTCCTTGCAGTTAGCTTAGTACATGACCTGCAATCCAGGAGCACTGCCTCTAGACTACATTCCAAGACATTTCAGTATGTTCTCTTTTTATTTTTGTTGCTTTCTGCCTGCAAGTCATCAATCCATTCATCCTTTCTCCCATACTTATCCCCCCAGTACATGCATTTATTTCTTCAACCAACAAACACTTGTTTTATGCATATGTGCCACATACTGTGCTCTGTTTTAGGGGGCACAGAGATAAGTGACTCAGTCTCAAGGTAGACTTAGAAAAAAATCAGAGAAGGGTGGAAATTTCTTAGTTGCTGAGAGCATCCAGCAAATAGCCAACCTCCTGTGTCCCATGACATGCTCAACAGCCAGGGGCATTCAGGCTCTGTCTGAACAATGATTGTGAAAAGTCTATGCTGGGGTTTACTTAGCCCTCCTGGAGAAGACATTAAATTATTCTGTCACCCACACCGTTAAGCTTGGTGACTGAATCCAAGCTGTTTTATATTCAGCCTAACTTGGAAGGAAGGGCACAGTAACACTGGGAATATCACCCACCTTTCTCTCCTACCCCATCCCAGGAGAAAGCTGCCCCTTTCCCAGGATGCCTCTATTTCTGCTTTGCCGTTCCCAAGGTCTAGCTGAAGATTCTACCCTCTGAAGAGGACTGGGCCTCTTGTTTCAGAAAATTGCAGCAAAATGGAAGAATAGAGAGATATGAACTTGTCACGAGGGCAGAAGATGATCAGTTTCCATAACTTGGGTAGTGACCTCAACTAGGACACATTAAATGAAATCACATATGCGTGCTCTTTCTGTATTGTAATTGGTGAGTGCTAATTTGAAGCATGATCTTTCAAGTGGTCATCTAGAATCTGCTGCAGAAACAGTAAGAACATCAATCATTATTTGAGGCTGCAGATGATTTCATCCTATGAAGAGCTAGCCTATGATGAGTTTCTCTGGAGGCCTCTGAGGTAGGCAGGGCAAGAGATGACCATCCTATTATACAGACGAGGAAACCAGACTCAAGCAATAATGGCTATGAGCACTTCCTATGAGTCTGCTGCTGTCCAGAGCGTTCTCCATATACCAGGTATTTTGAACTTTTACAGATGAGGAAACGGAGGTCAAGAAAGGATAGGCCTTTCTCCCTAAGACACACAGATAAGGCTGTAGTAAAGCCAAATTTCTAGACCAGGACTTTTAGGTGCCAGATTCACACTCTTAGAGACCCTGGTTATCTTATATTATCCTAAGGTCACATAGCCATGAGTGGTGGGTCTGGGAGGGAAACCCAAGTATTTGACTCCCACCCTCTAGTGTTTCTCCATTGCTTCATTTTCCCAGTACGGTCTTCATCCTCCTGAATTCCCACTTAGCAAAATGACATGTGGAGAAGTTGTGCTGGCTGCCACTTGAAGGAGGCTGAGTGGTGGGCATGGGCTCTCAGCCACTCCCTATCAACCTAGAAGGAAACTATTCCCAGTAAAAGCCTTAAATCTGTGGTGATGAGAATTTTCTAGCTTACTTGAATGCCATGATCTCATCGAGGCTGGGACACCTGGGATCACAGATTCACTGGGCAAAGACAAACCATTTAAAAATGCAGGTCCTCCCATAAGCAGAGCCTGCAAAGTCTGTAGAAATTGTGCTCGTTTACTGCATGCTGGGCAGGGAATAGTGACTCATACTGAGCACTTGTGAGGCACCAGTCACCACACTAAGCATGTGGTCTGCATTAGCTTAGGTTGGTATTCTTATCTCCACCTAAAAGATAAAGAAACCGAGATTCAGAGAGACTAACTAGTATGCTCCAAGTCACACAGCTGGAAAGGCCAACTAAGATTTGAACTCTAATTTCTGTGGCTCTCAGAAACCAGTCACTGAGAGGCACTCTCTGCTGTCTGCTAAGCCAGACTGCCTGCCAGAATCAGAAGAGGAACCTCCATCTGGGGTTCACGTTGTGAACAAACAGTAAGAGAAGAAAGGCAGGGTAGATGGGGACATCTACCCAAGGTAGATGGGAACGCAAGCCAACTCCAGAAAGCTGATGTTAATGACCATGAGGGTCTCTGAAATTTCATTGCAATCCAGAAATACAAATTGATAGTGGCACAGCCCTCTCTCTGGCAGGACAGTGCAGTATCTGGAATTTCTTCTTTGCCAATGAGGTATTCACCCTCAGGAAAGGCATTTAGTATTCCACATTTTTCTTGAAATGTATAGGTTGAACATTTACATTTTCTTGAAATGTGCCCTACTTATTGATTTAAACGTTTGTAAGCATTTACACATTTATATAATTTTTATTGCTGCTATATAGAATCTTCAGTTCTGTTTGATTTTGCTAATTGCCCTAGTGCTTCCTCTGTACTGGAGTATCAATAATAATAATGATCAAAGACCTAAAAGTGCATAAGCATTTTCTGTTTCTGGCTTCTATTTCACGAATAAAACATTGATGCTCTTTTTAAGTTGGCCATCACTCATCTGTGAGGTTTTGCAGACAATAACAGTTCATTAGTAATATCTGGTGGGGGAAGATGTATGATGCTGTAAATATTTAAAATCAAATTTGAAAAAGAAGACAGAGATGAATGCATGGGATGGGGGCGGGGGAGGATGAACATGGTGCCCAGGGCTACGGTTTTCACAGCAACTTCCACTGGGGCCCTGCCATTGTTTTCCCTTGTAAGTTCCATGAAACAGGACTTAGCAATATTGCTACACCCAGCAGGGGCCAAAATGGCCTTTGTGGATTTTAATGGGGATCTAAGCCTGTGGTCCTTCTAAAAGTAGCTCCCGTGATGGGGACTTGCGAACAGATAATTTGTTTGGAAACTGATTCCAAGGAACACTTTTAGGGAGTCTCACATGATAGGGAAGGAAAAGGGCCAATGAAGAGTGTCACACATGAGGTACTGCTGTAGATAGGGGGCCCAATCCCACTTGGAGCCCTTTAAGAAACCACTATGAGGGGACCTAAGGGGCCAGGAAACCTTGGTCCATCCTCCACCAGCTCTTTTCCTAAATTGGTAGAGTGCTGCTCATGGAAGGGTACTGGCTCCCATTTCTAGCTAGCCCTGAGCTCAGGCCCAGGTAGACCCATCAGGATCTGCAGGTGGGAGCTATGGACATGTCAGCTCCTGGGTAAGTCCCTGAGAATGGGCAGGACCCATTCAGCTTAGCTACAGGGTGTGGGTACGAAGTCTAGGGTTTCTTTGTTGAGGTGGATGGTAGAGAGAATCCAGCTCACCATTTATCTTTTGGAACTCCAAACCCCAGGTTTGCCTTCCACATCACATCTAAGAGTTGTAGAGGGCAAAAACTGGTCATGAGTGACAGTCTAGTCCAGCTAGGGAAACTGAAACAGTGTCAGCAACACAGACATCACACAATGGCACTCAGCCAGAAGAGGACTGGTTATCAGAGAAAGCTTCCTGTTGTGGTTAGGAGGAAACCCAGAAATGGCTTTGGGAATGCTGCTGCTTCTATTCACTTCCTTTGGGTTGTTTGGTGGACTCTGATCCTTGTTGGGACTGACTGGGAAATGTTCTCCCTCCAAGCCCTCCTCCCATTCCCAAATCCTTTGTTCCTCAAAGAGCTTATATCCAGCTCTCCAGGCCCCTGACCCATCTTTTCCATCTTGCTTTGTAAAACTTTCCTGAGGCAGGGTGTGGTGGCTCATGCCTGTAATCCCAGCACATTTGGAGGCTGAGGTGGGCTCTTCAGCTCTGGAGCTCAACCACCAGCCTGGGCAACATGACAAAACCCCATGTCCAAAAAGAAAAAAAATTACAAAAAATTAGCCAAGCATGGTGGCCCAAGCCTGTAGTCATAGCTACTTTGGAGGCTGAGGTGGGAGGATCACTTGAGCCCAGAAGGTTGAGGCTGCAGTGAGCTGTGATTGCACCACTGCACTCCAGCCTGGGTAAGAGAGTGAGACCCCATCATAAAAAAACAAACCAAAAAATAAAAATAAATATAAAAAAACTTTCCAAACATATTTTATTTCCTTGAATCCCTGTTTACTACACACACACACACACCCCCACACACACCCACACCCTAATCTGTACTCTGATGCTTTGAACTAAGAATGGATGAAAATGGTATGTTTTTCAATGGAGGATTCCTAAAGCTAAACTGCTTTAGCTAAAGTAAGTGGGTTTTTAAGCTCTTCTCCTGCTCTGCTTCATGCATGTCTATAAAAATCACAAAATGTCAGAACAGGAGGAAATCTTAGGCTCATCTAATTTAATGTCTTCGGTTCACAGAGTTGTAAATCAGGGCTCAGAGACAAGATGGGATTTCCTTGAGGTCATGACTAGGTGACCCCATGACAAGCTGATAAGAGTCTATCATATATTTGTTAATAGACCTCAGAGCTGGGACAGAACTTTGGAGCAAGTTCCTTTGATCCAGGGCACAAAGGAAGTGGGGAACCAGGCACACATTTCCCACCCTGCCAGAACAGGGATTGGGTGAACAATTTTTTGGCACATCTGCCTTTGCTAGAGGACCTGCAAATACTTTTACATTAAATACATTCCTAGTGGACTTGGTTCCATCTTTACCTTATGATTAAATCTACTTTCAAACGTAGAGGCCAAGGAGTTGCTTCAATATCCTTCATGATGAGATGTTTATGAATGTGAGAGGCCATACCTTCAATTTTTTTATGCCTCTGACCATATCTTCCTGGGTGCAGTCAGAAGCTGTCTATCTATAACATCCACCCACTGACTTTGCACTTAGAACTGAGATCGGAAGGCAACTCCCTTGACAGCCTTACAAATGTCAACATTGTACCAGATCTAATGCTCCTTGTGCAACCTCCTTTTGATTGCCCTCACTTTCCTCTTTATACTTTGACAATTGTCACTTGGCTTCTTAGAATATAGGACTCATAACTGATGACAAAACTCTGCATCAGTGGTCTGACCAGCACAGAGTGGGCAGTCCCCCTCTTTCCTGGTACCTGAGTGATCGGCAAAAGTACTTTAACTTCTACATATAAACATGTTAATTTAGCCTCAAATCATCATTTGTATTTGTTTTTAGCAATATAATAGTGGCACAAATTTACCTAAACTCAGTGGAGAACTATAGGCTTTTACTGTTTTGCTGTCAACTCCTAATCACCCCTTTTCCCCATTCTATACTTGGGCAGCTGGTTCTGAGAGCAGGAGTTGCATTTTTGGCAGGCCTAAACACATGTTTTATATGGCAACAGGATGGATTATTTTATAATAACTTCACATTGACATATTTATGACACATAAATACCATCATGACAATTGAGAAATAGGATTTGCTATGCCATCAAAAAATCAATCTACAGAGCCACACTCGGTGGCACAGGCCTGTAGTCCCAGCTACTTGGGAAGCTGAGGTGGGAGGATCGCTTGAGCCTAGGTGTTTGAAGCTGCAGTGAACTATGATCATACTACTGCACTCCAGCCTGGATGACAGAGGAAGACCACGTCTGTTTAAAAAAAAAAAAGAAAAGAAAAACATTAATTTGCAAAATAGACAGGCTTAGTAAAAGAAATACTTAAGCTAAACGAAGGTCTCCTAAACACACTGTCATTATTACAAAAGAGGATTCTACAAAGGTAGGGGATGGGGGTGGGGTGGATGGGAACTAGCATTACTCCTGTCTTGACGGAAATCAGGGTAGCCTTGTGCTTAGTCAAAAGACCTCCATTGAGGGCTCTGTACCAGGTAAGTGACAGATTATTAAACAGGCAATTAAAAAACTAACTCGTGAGAAGAGGTGAAAACAAATGACTCGCAAAATAATAGACCCATAGACACTCGCTCAAGTGAAGAGGATTTCACGAAGTTTGGGAAATGCTTTCCTTCTTAGAAGTTATTAGCATATTAAAAGTACTGAGAAATTTTGTAATGAAGAAACACAAATAAGTTTGTTTAATCATGATTTCTCAAGCCTTCTATGACCATCAAAACCTTTTCTTTTACAAATAACTCCAACTAAATTTGGTAAATACTGCTTTGGACAGACCTTCTATCTCTCTGTCTAAGTTATCTAAAGTTTACCAGAATCTGAGTTCACTCGTTTCAAAGTGCTCTGTTTAGAGACCATAGAAAAACTCATAAATGTTTACTAACCCATCTCATTTCAAGCCATGGGTCATAAGAACTGACACAAATCCAGTGACACACCAAATAAAGAATATCCTTTTCTCAAATTGGCATGGCAAGATTAAGATTCCTATGTAAAAATATTTTCCCAAGGATTTCATTATTGGGTTAAGAAAGAAAAAGAAATAAATGGGCATTTTCTTTTCCTTACAAGTAGGGATTTTTGTTGTTCTTATTGACTTGAGATTAGAACCCACAAATATTTACTGAGCCGAGTGTATACACTCAAGATGATTCTAGGTCGTCTAACAGATATCAAAAGAAAATCATAAACCATCACTGTTTTTGCTGCATTTACAGTCCAGCAAAACTGATATTAATAGAGAAAGAGTAAATACTCCAACAATGTTGCCTAGAATATGGCACTTGTGAGAATTAATCAAAAGAAGAAATCCGTGGATTGGAGAAGATATGGGAAGATTTCATGGAGTTAGTGGGACTTAAATATGGCTGGGAAAATTGGGAAGAATTTTTAGAAGATAAGAGGACAACTGGAGCCCCAGACAATTAAAAAACTAACTCTTGACAAGGGGCCTCTGGGAAATTTTTTTTTTCTTGGGCCTGAGCTATTCCAGGAAAATGTTCCTGTATGTGAAGAGTATCTTTATTCACCAGACTTTCATCAGAAGTAGATGAAGCTTGGAAATTTTAAATATAAAGCAGACTGCTGCAACTAGACTATATGTCAGGAGTTTGAATTTAGATATTAATGGGTATTAGATATTAAGATAGTAATTATAATTACTGTATATTAATATAGTATTACTATATTTAAATATATATTAATTATACTATATAATACTAGTATTACTATATAATAAATTGGTATTACAAATAATTACTATAATTATATATAATGATATTTTTATCTATTATATTATTATAATAAATAATAACTATTTATTATTACTATATAATAATTATATATTATATACTATGCAATATAGTACTAATATTACTATATCATATTATTAATTAATTAATATATAGTGATCTTAATAATACTAAGTATAATCTAAGTAATAATACTGTTTTAATATAATTCATAATAGATATTCATATGTATTAATAATATAATATCTGAATTCAATATCTAATATTTGAAAAATAAAAGGGTAATTGGTTTTTGTCTATGTCTATTTTTTATAAGGACTAGCGAGTTATTTGTGTGTGGACAGCCCAGTCCCAGAAGGTAAAACCATTCTTAACCATAGTCAGGACCATCACACTCAGCTGACCTAATAGCCTATTTCCACAGAGGCAGAACAGTGTGGTGAGGGCCAGAAATGAGACATCAGCATAATACTTGGAACACAGTTGGAGTTCATTAAATGATTCATCTTCTCCTTTTTGTCATCAGTTTTTAGAGTCCTCAAGTTGTGTTGACCCACCTGGAAACACCGCTGGCTCCAGAATGCCAAGCTCCAGTAATTTTATAAAATAAAATTAAAATACCCGAAGGATGTATTTGCAAACAAACTATAGAGATTAAGATTATACAGCAGTTAAGAAAGCATGAGGTGGGCGTACGTGTGCCAGTAAGGAAGGAGTTTTACAAGCAAGATGGAGAACAACAAGAATAATGTGATCACATTTTTCCTTTTAAAAACCAAAATTCCATATAATACTCAGTTACCATTTGATAAGTTATTAGTGTTTACCTGGCACTGTGCAAAGTGCTTTTAAAACTCTTATCTTGGCTGGGTACGATGGCTCATGCCTGTAATCCCAGTACTTTGGAAGTCTGAGGCAGATGGATCACCTGAAGTTAGGAGTTTGAGACCAGCCTGGCCAACATGGTGAAACCTTGTCTCTACTAAAAATAAAAATACAAAATTAGTCAGTGTAGTGGCATGAGCCTGTAGTTCCAGGGGCTCAGGAGGCTGAGGCAGGAGAATCGCTTGAACCCGGGAGACGGAGATTGCACTGAGCCAAGATCGCACCACAGCACTCCAACCTGGGCGACAGAGCAAGATTCTGTCTCACAGAAAAACACAACAAAAACAAAATGTTAAAAAAAAAAAAAAAAAAAACCCTTATCTCCTTTCATGCTCACAATGCTGAGAGAGTGGTATTGTTGTCCATGCCATTTTATAAATGCAGAAATTGAGGCTTAAAGAGGTTAAATAACTTTCCCAGCATCATACATTCAGATAGTCTGATTCCGGAGCCTATTCTAGAAGTCATGATACAACTTAGGTGTCCAAGCCTAGAAAAACACAGGGAAGGACACACACCACTGTTGTCAGAGGTTACATCTGAAGAGAAGGGATGGGCTGGAGGGAGGGGTGAAAGATAAGTTTGAGACATTTGTTTATTACTCTAAATTAATATATTGCTTCATGTATTTGCAACAAATGTATATCAGTTTAATAGTTACGAAGACAGTCCTTTTCGCAAAAGAGCAAATATATAATCTCACATATATGAAATATATGAAATAGGCAGATTCATAGAGACAGAAAATAGATTCAAGGTTCTCAGGGACTTGGGAGAGTGGGAAATGAGGAGTTAATGCTTAATAGGTGCAAAATTTCTGCTTGGCATGATGAAAAGTTTTGAAAATAGTAACAATGGTTGCACAGCACTGAAAATGTAATTAATGTCAATGAATTCTTAAAAAATGGTTAAAATAGTGAATTTTATATTATGTATATTGTACCATAGGAAAGAAGGAGAAGGAGCAGGAGGAGAGGAAAAAGAGGAGAAGAACAGCAAGAAGAAAGAAGGAAGAAAGAAGAAGAGGAGGAGGAAGAAGAAGGAGGAGGAGGAAGAGGAGGAAGAGGAGGGGAAGAAGGAGTCCTTTGAATTGAATTCATCCGGTTTTTGGAAAACTCACTCTATTTCCCTTCTTTTTTTCGTTTTGCCTGTACATTGTTGTGTCACAGATGTGTGGCGTCCCCAGTGGCTCAAGGGCCAATGAGATGTAAATGCAGCTTTACCTATTTGGACATGTGGTTGTGTTACAATCCCTGAGCAGTAGAAGATGCCTCTGAGCACCAGCTCCTTTGCTTCCCTTTGTGGTTTGAAGCCATATATTTGTGATCGGCTCAATGTTGGGCAAAGAGAGTCCCCTTTTTTTTTTTAGAGTACCTTGGTGTCTCTACAAGACCTGAGAGGCAGTGGACACAGTTTCTGTGGAAAATATCTTACATTCTACATTTTTAAAAGGTGGGATTGGGTTAGGCTCTGGAGGTTTTATTTACATGAATGAGACCTTCACTTTCATGCAGTGGATTAGAGAAGTAGGCAATTATTCATTCATCCATCCATCCACCCACCCATCCATCCATCCATCCATCCATCCATCCATCCATTTGTATGTCCACTTTCTTAAAAAATCTTTAAGGAGTACCAACTATAAGCCAGACTTTTAGCCAAAAACTGAGTAATAAGCATCACATTTTTTATAAGACTTCAAAAATCAGCATGGTGTTATAGCAAATAAATTAGAATAGGCATCCAAGATCATGGCTTCTTCTCCAGTCATTTTCACTTACTTGCTGTGTGATTTTGGGCAAGTTCTTTCCCTTCTCTCAGCCTTTCTGATAATCTCAGAGTTGCCCTCCAGCTCCCAGATGTGCTGATTCTATTTCTATAGCTAGTCTCAGGTGGTCCACAAATACTTTCAAATATGTCTACAAGTCTATGGGTGTGAGAAAGACACACATATATTGAAAGGTTGTGTCTTTATGTTCATGCCAGTAAAAATTGATAAGGATTGTTCCTGTCCCAGTCAGCATTTGAGTGCTTAATTTTGGTAGTGATGAAAATAACAGAAAAAAACATGGGCACTTGCATATATAGAAGAAATATGTGATTATGATTTATAGAATTGAACTAAAGAATAGTTGTCCATCTGCGAAAAGATTTTATAAACACCAAATAGAAAATCATGTTCAGCTCCCCATAGATGGCATGAAAGAGTGCTTAATAATCGGTAAATATGCTTTTTTGCTGCATGTGTGTGCCTTTAACAAATATTGACCTGTCCTTTGCTGATATATTTCAAAACGTGAGTAAATCAAAATAAGATGTGTTTTATGGAACTCTCTTGTTTTATTATCTGTCATTTAATTTTTAATACCTAAGTGACACCTGATATATTACCTAATCAAAAGAAGAGAATTATACATTGCACATAATCAGTTATTTTTGCCATATCACCGAAATTAGACTAACAGATGAGGAAAATAAATAAGATGAACTTTAAAAATGAAAATGCTTAGCCTTTGGAATTTTAGTTGACAGCTTTTGAAAATTAAATTATAAGTCAAGTCCTGATAGGTTTGATATCTTCTTTGCAGTTTTGCCGATGATGTATTGCAGCTTTAATGGAATATCATTTATCATCTGATAATAACAAATGTAGTATTTCTGAGCTTGTCATCTCTTCTGTGATGACAAATAGTCCAACTTGTAGCGGCGATAATGGAATTTTATAATGATCTGTCCTAAACTGACTCACTGCAGCTGAGCTATTTTTCTTAAATCTCATAATGCCTATTACATGTAGATTACAACAGTCGGCGCCTCCCATCTAAGCATGAGCTCGGATCAATGAATCCAGATTTTGGGCAAACAGCCCAAAAGGATCGAACCATATTTACTTGTTTATCAAGATTATTCCTGTTAGGCTAATAAGAGAGCTTGTCAGAGGTTGTCGGAAATGGCAAACTATATCATTTAGAAGATAAAATAGGTGATGAAAACTCTGTTTATCTCTTCAACAGTAGGCAGTATATCCAGTTTGCAATTCTACTCGTCCAATCCATCATTTCATAGGGATTTATTTAATGAAGGCCTTGTGCTGAGAAACCCGAGTTAGAGAGCCCAGCCATTCTTCCACTTTATCTTGAAGTAGGATTTATTTTATATCTTAACACTTGGTTTGTCTGATAGCATCGCCTTGTTGCACCTGTACATTGTATAGTCCAAATCACTTGCCTTTTTGACACTTTTCTGAAACTTCCAAACAGTCTGAAGTGTCACAGAAAACCTAGATTTGGAGGTTGTGAGCATCTCGAAATATTGCATGGTATGTGTGGACATAACTATGGCAGACGTGATGCTCTGAAGCTCACCTCCTGGGAAGGAAAGTTACTGACATAATTGGAGGAGCCACCTGAGTGGATAGTGGAGGGGACAATATTTCCATTGCAGATTTGATTTTTACCCTCATCTAAGCACATCTGATTTTCTGACTGTGGTCACAGCAGGCCAGCATGTGGACAAAGGGAAAGGCCTGGTGTGAAGGTGTTAGTTTTGACAGTGAGTGAGTGCTATGTACAGGAATGAAAGACAGAGCATACTGCTAATGGCAGGCACTGATATGCAAATTGATGCCTGACATGCCTGAAGATTTCACAGGTGGAGACAAGGGTAATGGGAGGTGTGCATTTCAGATGGGCTCTGATTTCATACCCTCTCAGCCTTTGAGCATCTGTTTCAATGTCATCTTGGATGTGATTATTCTTTTTCTTTTTTGGTGGAATTTTACTCCTGGCCCAGCTTAAGTATCTGATTACTGCCTTCAGACTCTGAGCTTTGCAGTAAAGACTGTACACCCCACTTTTTTTTTGGTTTCTTCACTTCTTTCTGTGCTTCTCCATTCCCGTTTTCTCCTTTTCTCTCTCTTCCTTCCCCTTTTTCTTTGACTTCTCTTTCCACCTTTCTTCTCTCTTCCGCTTCTTTCACACAAAGGGTCACAGATTCAAGTAGAGAAGATGAAGGGGAAAGAAGACTTCATGTGAACTCGATGGTCATGGATTTCACTTCAAATACAAACCATGTCCAGCTAATTGTGGCCAGGTGAGGGGACAGGCCACAGGTGACCAAGATCTAAAACTCTTTCAAAAGAAGCTGGAAATGTGTTTTTTATATAAAAGGCCACGTTTGAAAATATTGCCAACTACTTCAATGTTTCTTTTTAACATTATTTGTGGGGCCTAATAAAAATTGAACTGAGAACAAAGGCCACTTCTTTGTGAGCTGTAGTTTAGACACTTGACCTGGGTGACCTCATCTACTCCAATGACCTCAACTACTCACCACTCAGAGTAGAGCTAGCTCCTACTCTCTCTGGTCTTATATCTATTTTTCCAACTATCTGTCAGATGCTTCATAAATATTTCAAGCTCGGAGGCAGGGTAAGAGTATTGAGAGGAAGAGTCTTGATTTAGATAGAAGGCTTACTTCAGGAGGAGTGGGAAGTAAAATCAAGTAGGTCAGGAGGAGATTTTTAGGGAGTTTGGGTGACAAGAAGACAGTCTCAACTGGTTAGCAAGCAATAGGGAGCCATCGTGAGCTCATGAGTAACAGAGTGACATAGCAGAGGAAGATTTAAGGAAGATGAGTCCAGAAAGGAGAGGAAATGAAGGTAGAAATGGAGGGAGGGTGGGAAGTAAGGTCTCATATGAGAATTCAGCAGTAAAAATGGAGATG